TTTCTTTAGGGATTCCTCTTAGCGATGTTGAGGGTTGCTGTTTTCTCCTTCACTTCTGTTTTCCTAAATAAACCTCTTCTGCTTTACACACCCTTCCTTGTCCCTGCTCCTCATTTTTCATGAACACAAGACACGAACCCAGCAGAGAAGAAAGAATGGTCAGAACTGCACACTCCTGCAGCATCGGCCAGCGGGGCCACCATTCCGTCCTGTCCAATACACCAGGTCAGCCCCAGATGAGCTCCACTGGGCCGCTGAGGGACTGAGGTCTGTGAGCTCTTGGGGGAGCTCCCTCGACCACGTTCAGTCTTTCTGAAAACACATCTTATCATGGGTTCTGTACCGGGCAGGACTCCTTTGGTTGCAAGTGATTAAAAATAAAAATAAAAATAAAAAATTCTGGGGCCCGCGTTGTGGCCCAGGGAGTTAAGGTGCCGCTTTCACACCTGCATCCCATGTGAGAGCTAGTTCAACTCCTGGCTGCTCCGCTTCTGATCCAGCTCCCTGCTAATGCACCTGGGAAGGTAGTGGATGATGGCTCAAGTACTTGGGCCCCTGCCACCTACATGGGAGACCTGGACCAAACACCAGGCTAGATGTTGCTATGGAGGTATCTCTATAAAACATTGATTGATTGACTGATTGATTTGAAAGGCAACGTTACAGGGTGGGGGAGGGGGTCTTCCATCATGCACTGATTGATTCACTGCCCAAATCGCTGCAATGACCAAGGCTGGGCCAGCCTGAAGCCAGGAGCCAGGAGCTTCAGCCAGGCCTCCCACGCAGGTGCAGGGGTCCAAGCACTTGGGCCATCCTCCACTGCTTTCCCAGGTGCATTAGCAGGGAGCTGGATCAGAAGCAGAGCTGGATTGGAAGTGGAGCAGCCAGGACCTGAACTGGCTCCCATATGGGATGCTGGTGTCCCACGTGGTGGCTTAACCCACTATGCCACAATGCCAGCCCCAGAAGGTGTTTTTTCAAATGCAATTAACTGGTTAATCAGCAGACACTGAGTAAGGCAGCAGACTCTCTCATGTGGTGAGCCTTATCTAATCAGTTGAAGGGCCTAAAGAGCAGAGACTGAGATTTCTTGCCACAGGAGGAATTCTGCCTCAAGACTACAACACAGAAGCCGCCTGTGTTTCCAGCCTGCCAGGTTGTTCTACAAACTCAGACCTGCTGGTCTCCACAATGGCATGAGCCAAGTCCCTAAATAATACCACCAGGCGTACCCCTGTGTCTCTGTATATAGATACACAGGTGAAATGTATCCAGTGGGACAGACAGATACCCTATTGGTTCTATTGAACCCTGGTAACACAGCCCTTGCCTCTGTGTTTCCTTCATATGCAGAGAGAGGGTTGAGCAAGTCCCAGCAGTGCCGTGCCCCCTCCTGACACCAGGGACCCAGGGCGCCAGCTGAGCTGGTTGCCTGTCCTCCCCTGCAGTCCTTCCAGGAATAGCCTGGCTCGCGGCCTGACACCGAGGAGGTCCTCTGCACTGATGAGACAATACCGTTAGAAAATGGGTTTTGTTGAGAGACCATGTTGATAAATGTGACAAACATCCTCTCTGAAGATTGCATGTCAGGCCTACAAGTCATCAGAACCTCTCCTCTCATCAGATGCAGTCACTCCACAAGCATTTATTGAATGCCTGCGTGCGCCAGACACTCTTCCAGGCACTGGGAGGGCAAGCGGCAAACAAAGCTCTTACACTCAGGCAGGGAGCGGCAGACAGTAAGCAGCTTGGTGCAGAATCCGCTGTGGTGACAAAGGGCTGAGAAGTGAACCCAGCCTGCTGAGGGGGAAGGGCAGGGGAGACTGACGAAGGAAGCGTCTGATTGGTGAAGGACGTGCAGAGAAAGCCTCACGGGGGGGACAGCATTTAAATGGAGGCCAGGGGCTGGCGCTGTGACGCAGCGGGTTAACGCCCTGGCCTGAAGCACTGCATCCCATATGGGCGCCGGTTCTAGTCCCAGCTGCTCCTCTTCCAATCCAGCTTTCTGCTATGGCCTGGAAAGCAGTAGAAGATGGCCCAAGTGCTTGGGCCCTGCACCCACATGGGAGACCCAGAGGAACTTCCTGGCTCCTGGCTTCGGATCGGCGCAGTTCCGGTCATTGTAGCCATCTGGGGAGTGAACCAGCAGATGGGAGACCTCTCTTTCTCTGTCTCTACCTTTCTCTGTAACTCTTTCAAATAAATAAAATAAAATAAAATAAAATAAAATAAAATATGCTCAGGCTGGGGCCTGAGCAGGACTTGGCCCCCCAGTCACACAGATGTTTAACCCCCAGAGTCTTCAGTCATGGTGCTCAGAAGGTGGAGCTTTGATCCAATGCGTGTATTTAGGAGACCAGCCTGGTAGGAGCGCCTTAGGTCACTGAGGGAATGCCCCTGGAAGGTACTCCCATAGGAGTGTTGGCTTTGAAAGCCAAATTGGGCCTTGTTCCCCCTCTGTGTCCTGGCTTACCATGGGGTCCCTCTGCTCACCGTCACCACTGCCATCCTCCACCCAAGCCAATTAGGTTGGCTTAACCTTGGACTGTGAACCTCCAAAACTGTCAGCCAAAATAAACCTCTTCACTTTATAAGCAGTTTCTTCTGGGCATTAGCTGGAGTGATGAAAAACTAGCAGGACCAGAACTTTGGGTTTTACCCAGAGAAAGATGGGAAGCCTTTGGTCCTTTTGTCCAGGGAAGGTACACTAACTCTATAAGATCATAAGAGCTGGAGGGGGAAGAGAGGGGCAGTGGTGGTTTTGAGCCCCCAGCATCCTGCGCCAGCCACTCTCAAGCCCCAGTGGCCCCAGAGAGGTCTCTCTGATTGAAGTCTCCACAGCTGTCGCCTTGCCTCCCCAAGTGCATCACCCGGCCCCAGGGCCAGGACCAGCCCGAACCTCAGACAGAAGGACCTGGGGACAGGCGATGGACAGTGGAGGGAGAAGGACCAGCAGGGGCCACACCTTGACCATCATCTTCACAAGTAAACCCTGTGCTTTAACAGCGTTCTCGTAATCTTCCTTCGTGTCAACGTAACACCTCTAAATCACCTTCTAGCAATCTGCCCTCTCCTGGCCCAGCAGAGTGTTGGTTCCCCCCGCCTCCTCCTTGGAACTGACAGCCACAGCCTCGTGACCCCAAGAAGGGCCCTCAGCCAACGCACCCAGAAGCCTCTCTACCTTTCTCTCTGAGCCACCCGTGTTCCCCAGCGGTCAGCAACACAATCACGCCCTGCGCACTTCACTCTATGAGGGTGGAGGAGAGTCCGGAAGTGAAGAGCGGAGCAAAGGTGAGCAACAGAAAGAAGCACAAGCCCACCAAGGACAGAGTCTGGCCAGGAAGGAAGAGCCAGGGCGCTCCCTCCCCAAAGGAGGTGACCAGGAGTCTCTGCGTCTGGTAAGAGAGATGAGCTGAACAGAAGGGACTCTGCTCCCCCGATGTGTGTCCCTGCCAGCCAACAGGAATCTCCATTCTGGTCAGAGACGCTGTCCCAGAGAGCTCGGCCGCAGAGGAATTCAGAGCTTAAGCAGGAAGCATTCCGTCTGGGAGCCAGAGGAGCACGCTGTGTTCTCCTCCTTCTCTAATTTTCCCCTTCCTGCCCAAAACATCAGGCAGGTCCCAGGCCCCCTGCGTATTGCGTGAAGCTATGCACGCACGGCTCTCTCGGGAGTGAGGAGTTGCGATGACTCAACCTGGCCACCTGCATCCACTTTCCGGCTCTTTCGCCCGTGGCACTTCCTTGGGCATGATCTCCATGCCACTGAGCAAGATGTGCCCTCTCTGCCTTTGCTTCCTCCACATCCAAAGGAATTTTTCCATGATTTGTCACTTTCTGAGAGGGCTTACATAAAGAGCTGTTGTTTCCAGGGCAAAGCAAGGAATAATGAGTGGAATTTAGAACAATGCTAAGAAAGGTCAGCCCAGCGGAGAAGAGGAAGCTCTGCTGCCCGGCTGAATCACTCCTTGTGCTGGGTTCTGGCCCTGCAGGAGCCCAGGAGCCCCATATGAGAGGGGGGATCCTAGGACCCCCGACACCTGACCTGTTTGCTCAAGGATGTTTGAAAGACCTTGGCTGTACCGCAGCAGCCCCCAGAAACGATAGGAGGGGGGCCTCCTGCCTTATCTGCCCGCCACGTGCTGACAACTCAGCTTTATTCCACTCCAGCTCAAACCTCTTCTGAGCTCAGTCTCATTTAGCCCACCACCTACCACCCACCTGATGCCCAAGTGCGCCTCCGGGTTTCCTCGTGCACACTCCCGTGCTCACCTGCTTGGCAGTCTGGCACAGCCAGAGGCTCCTCTGTCTACCCGGGGCCAGAGTCCTCCAGGAAGTCTCACTCACCACCTCACCCTCCTATGACCCCAAACATATCTGCAGGGCCAGAGATGACTCGTTCCTGGTTGGTTTCCTTCCCAGGTGTGGCCCCTCCAATCTATTCACACAGCAGCTGGAGCAATCTTTTAAATCAAATCGCCTCAATCCTGCTTCAGCTGCCCCCTTCCCAACTTCTTCACCTTGGCCCAAAATCCATGTGTTCATCTGAGAGGTCTTCAAAAAGTTTGTGGGAAATGCGTGTATGCACAAACTGTGCATGGACTTCCAAAGCTGTAGCACAAAAATAAGCGTATTGTTCAATGCCGCTTTCCACAAACGTTTTGAGCTTCTCTCCCTGGCTTCTGCCTTCCTCCCTGGTCTCACGTCACGCCTCCTTCTCGTTTGTAGCACCACAGCCACACTGAGTTCTTTTCACTTTCGGGGACATACTTCCTCTCCCGCATGGCACCCGTGGCATGCTGTGTTTCCTGCTGTCTGCACGTGTGCCTCCCTCTGCCACCTCCTCCGAGCCTCAGCTCAAGGGTCCCATCCTCAGAGTCTATACCTAACCCCCCAGCTAAGCAGCACGCCTCCCCCGATTTCTCGTCATTCTCTTCAGCTTGTCCCATTTATTGCCAATTGCCAGTTAAGAACTAATTTTTAACAATTAACCATATACTTACTTGCTTATTGTCTCTTGTGGGCAGCAGAATTGGCCCTGCCTTGGAGGTAGGCACAGCAGTGAGTTCAGCAAACACCCTGGAAGGCAGAGGGAGGGCTCAAGGGCCTTTGTCTGACCCTGTGTCCCCACTGTGAGCACAGGGTCTGGCAGAGCACCTAGCAGATGACTGGCTGGCTGGCTGGATGGATGGACAGACAGACAGTTGGGTGGATGGGTGGATGCAGGGAGGGAGCAAGTGAGGGAATTTTAGCCTTGGGAAAAAGGCAATAGAAACCATGGCTGAGAACTGGGGTGGGGGGATTATATAGAACAGATCCTGCACCTGTAGGAGGAATCAGAGATGTAGACATCATCTCAGCACCAGGATGAGACAGACACTGGGAAAGATTAGCCTTGAATGTGCTCAGGTAACGCCTGCCTGAAGCAGGCAAGTTAGAATTAAAACCCAAACCAGGTGAAGCTGCCGCGTGGGACGCCTGCAGCCCCATATCAGAGCACCCGTGGTATCCGGCGTCTCCGCTTCCAAGCCAGCTTCCTGCTAGTGCATCCTGAGAGGCAGCAGACGATGGCTCAAGTACCTGGGGCCCTGCCACCCATGTGGGGACCCAGACTAAGTGCCTGGCTCCTGGTTCCCGGCTCCTGGCTCGGCCCTGGCTGTTGCAGGCATTTGGGGAGTGAGCCAGAAGTTGAAAGATCTCTCTCCCTCTCGCTCGCTCTCTCCTGTTTTTCTGCCTTTCAAATAAATAAGAATAAATAAACAAACATTTCTTAAAACCAAAAGAATGAGGAACGGAGTCTGCTTTTCTCCTTCATTTTGGGCAGAGCTGCTGGGACTCACGTTAATCTAACAGTTGACGAGTCGGTGCAGGATGACCCATGATAGCTTCGGACATGTCTATGTGACAGACTTCTCAAGTCAGCAGTCCTTCCTGGCATACCTGGAGGATGGCTGCTGTCCATGGACCCCCTCCATGCCCCTTGCAACAAACAGAAAGGAGATAGGTGGAAAGGGTGGGCTCGGGGCACAGGCAGCACAGCCATGCCAAGTGTCATCAGAGTGGGCTCACAGAGGCAGCATGGAGGGCCGGGAGGAAAGAGCAAGAGAGAGTAGAGAACACTTCCTCGCTAACCCTGGGCCAGGGGCTCCAGCTCAGTGGACTCTGCAGCAGGCACCTCAGGTTAGCGAGCAGCAGGCAGATGGCAGAGAGGAGATGTAGTACACAGCCAAGTCTAGCCAGACTTGGTACCCAGAGTTTCCCTCGGCAGGGCCTGGAGGAATGGGCAGTGGGCACAAAGGTTATAAGTGGGCACAGAGCCCCAGGCCAACTGGCTTCAGGGAAGTATGACCCAGCCAGGAGCCCAGTCTTCTGCACGGTCCAAGGCAGGAAGAAAGGACCCAGCTGAGGCTCCCTACCCTAGGCCTGCCAATGGGAGGAGGATTCCAAGCCCCGTATGGGCTGAGGCCCTGGAGCGGGCTCCCATGTGAAGGTGGGGATGTCACTGGAGGCATGAGGTTCTGCAGGGACAGAGCAGGGGCAGTAAGGTGTCCCAAGACTGGCAGCACCCTGGTGAACATTAGTATTGCTTCCAAGAGGGATTCCAAGGGATTCAAGAGGGTGGCGTCCCAGGTTGCAAGGTTGACCGTGAGATCCCAGACATCCTTCCCCATGGGGTTCCTCAGGCACTTGCTATCTGGTTGGGCTTGGGCCCCTCCTCTCTGCCTCTGGGAAAGGCCTCTTCCCCAAATCACTTCACCACTCCGATTCCCCGGGTTGAGCCGGGACTCAGGAGAGAGCAGCACCTCCTCCCTGCCCTGCCCGGGTCTTCCCCATGTTCTATCTTAAGAAGCAGCCTCCGGGGAAAGAAGATCAGAACAAGGGGCATCCTGCCCCCAGGACCACCCCACCACCACCCCGTGAGAGGTCGCGCTGTCCCAGCCTCGGATCCACATCTCCTGATAGCTTCCCCACGGCTCACCACAGCTGCACCACTGGTTTTGGCTCCTGGCTCCCTCCGAGGCCGCCAGCAGAACTCTTTAATCAACACAACTCTGGCTCCCAGGGGAAGCTGCACAGCCATCGTCTATTTCACAACGACTGGCAAAGGCATGGGGTGGAGTGGAAAGAGCACGGGGCTGGGAGTCAGGAGCCCCGGGGTGCAGCCCTCAGATACTCCCCAGCTGCTCTCCTCCCCAGCTCCATCTCCTGACCAAGGTAGAGGCTGTCAAAGGAGAAGCTGCCTGTGACTTGTGCCTTATTGTTGAGCACTTTCCACTAGAACGAACTGTCCGGCCTGGGACCCCGCGGGGGGCTCCCCTTAGCCCCATGCACCCATGTGACTCTGAGCCCCTGGCCACGGCTGATGGTACCCCGAGTAAGCCTCTTGCCCACCCATGCCAGTGAACATCTCTTCCTGAGGAATTTGGAACAGGGGGAGGAAGAGAGCCAAGAGTCAGGGACCAGCGAACTCAAGATCTGTGGGACAATCTGGTTTCCTGCCGTGCCACCTGCACAGCAGAGACACCCACTCTGAGATGAGAAGGGAGATGGAGCAGAAAGGGAGGCTGGCAGATGCCAGGGCAGAGGGGACTCCCAGGAGCCCAGCTGTGCTTTTGTAAGCTGGCTCCTCTGTGACCCCAGCCTCCTGACAGCTGCACGGTGGGGAGCGGCGCGGGGCTCCTGGGGGCGGCGCCGCAGGCTGCCCTGCGCAGACGCGGCTCAGGCGCACCCGCCTCGTGCATCCATGTCCCACCCCGACCAGCTCCAGGACGCGGCCCCCGTGCTTTGGCCACGGTAGGTGCTTCGTCAACTGGTGTCAGGGAAAATCCAAAGGCATCATTCCTGCGGGAGGCGTGTCGCCCCCAGTCAGGCGGGCGGCTGCTCCGCAGCGAATGCGTGACCTGCCCAAGCCCTTCCGGCTCTGCAGTCCCTGACCCCGTGTGAGGCCAGGACTCAAGCCCTGCTGCAGCCAGCCCACAACTTCCCAAGTTTTATTTTTATTAACCCAACTGGAAAATTGGACTTCACTCAGGATTGTGCTGAAAACCAGATGCTGGAGCTGGGCTCTGGTTTCCTAGATAAACACATCGCAATAATATGCATCTACCCGTGAAATGCTCTCGTTGGCGGCACGTGGCAGCTGTCCAGAAGGAAGAAAAACAGTGTGCAAGCTTCATTTGAGGCTTCCCACTCCCCTTCCTGGCCAGGGGCTGGTCAAGATAGCCAAGATCTGTTGTTGGCCCAGTGCAGGCCAGTTCCCTCTCTGCTGGCGCCCCCTCGCCCGCTCCCTGCCTCTGGCCAGGAACTTCACAGCTTCTAGAAAGAGCTTCAGGCTTTTCCCAATCCCCCTATCCAGATCCAGGCTTTTCCTCTGAGCGTCCACCATGGCCCGTGCGGGCCCCTCGGAGCAGCTGTACTGGGATGGCTGAGGCTGTCGGGTTCCTCCAGGGCAGCTTGGATGCTCCTTCAGGAGGGGAACGGGGACTTGTACATGTCACAGCCCAGTGCCCAGCAGATGAGCACAGTTGCTGGTGTTGCTGACTGAGTCAGGCCTACTGCAGTGGCTACAGCAAGACCAGCTCCACACATGGAGAAGGCATGGGTCTCGGGAGTGTTGCTCAGGTCTCACCCCTCACTCACTGCATTTACCCTGCACCAGAACCTGTGCTTGGTGTGGGGATAGGAAGGATCCTGAGGCATCCGAGCCTGGTGGGAGAGCTCTGAAGACAGGCTGAGGTTTTCTGTGGCCCTCAGCAGCCTCCTGCAGACCACGCCCCCATCCTCGTGGAGAAGGCGTGTCTCAGGGTAGTCCCGAAGTGGGGGTGGGCAGAAGCTCCCTTAGTAAAGACCTCGGGAAGAGAACAGTGTGCTTGTGCATGCTTCTTTTCGATGATTTTAAGACACTAAGATCTGAAGACCTCTGGGTAGGATCTGCCGCCCTTCCAAGAAGCTGGGACCTGGGAGAGGTCAAGACATGCAAAGAGGAAACAGGGGTCACGAGGAAGAGAAGGAGACCAGAGGAAACTGCCCTGCGCCTGCTCACAGCGGCTGCTTCCACCCGGACTCATGAGCGATTTGATGAGAAAATTAAATAGATCTTTCGCTGCACCCTCCTCTGGACTCCAAGGTGTACACGAATCCCTGGCAGTAAGAGGTGTTACACAAACAGTTAAAGGGATACAGAGCTAACTGGCAATGAGACAGAGGGGGACCGGAGCGGGGTTCCTGCCTCATTCAGGAACGCGTGGCATCTGACGTGGGGGTTCCAGTCCTTGCTGACATGCGTGGCCTCTCAGGAGGAGAAGTAGAAATTCTATCCCGCTGTGGGAGGGGGCCCAGAGGTGCACCTGGGCTCGCGGAGCTGCGGGGGAATCCCAATTACAAGGCCGGCTGTTGTTGTTGTAGTCAGGGACACTTCCCTTTGCCCAACCCACAGCTCGCTGTGGGGCTTCTGCTCTGGGGCTGTGCTGCAGGGCACTCGGATTCCAGGGGCACCGAGCCGCTGCCCTTCTGCCGGCCCTGGCCACTGAAGGGTGGGTCCCGAGGGCAGCCTGGATGAGGCCAGAGCTCCCTGGAGGAGAAGCAGGCAGACCTGATTCCTCAGTGCCTTCCAAGGCTGACGCAATAGCAAAAATACCAAAAAAGGCTTGATTCAGATAGTAAAATGGAATCTACGCAAGTGCAAATTAGGTCAGTCCCTTTCATATGGGAGAAGAGGATGGAGCCGAAATGCAAAAGACGGAAGTAGGTTTAAGTTTTGATTTTGATTCAATTGCAAAGACAAGCACTTAACATGATTATTACACTGGCAGCTGTAAAAAGCATTTTTGATTTGCAAATGACAATGATACCATTTTACTGTCCCTCAGACGCGGGTGTTTCTTCCCTCCTAGGAATGGCAGCACTGCCTTGGGTTCTGACCATACGATGGTTCCTGGAGGGGACCTTGGGTGAGAGCCCTGAGGTGCGGGACCCCCAGCATTTGGCGAATGAGGCACTGGGTGGGGGGGTGTCCAAAGCGCCCAGCCAACACCTTTCTGTGGCTTTGAATCACCCGTATATAGCATTCCCCAGCCTTCTAACCACAGTTCTATCTGTTTTCTACATGATACATGTTTCACGGGTCTGATATTTTAAGCACTCTACACTGCTAGTCTTTCCCGTCACTCTGTTTCTGTATTGCATCTTCAGCCTCTGCATGAAATTCACTGTCTGTCCAGAACCTGTCTCCTCTCGTTGAAGACACAGATTGTGAGGCAAACTTCCAGCCAAGGGGACAAAACTCAAGGGGGAGGAGCCAAGAGGCAAGGAGGAGTCACAGAGGAGGAACTGAGTCCCAGCAACAAGCTTGGACAGGGGCTGGGGAGAGGGAGACCTCCAGGGGAAAACACCGGAGATGGGGAGGCAGAGACTCAGGGGGAGTTTCTTTTGTGGCCTGATTGTGTTTATGGTGTCTCAACTTGCACAAAAGTGTGCGGTACTCTGTAGTCACGTTGACCAGCCTTTCCCTTACTGAGATGTCCAAATCTCAGTGTCTTACTAGAATGGCCTTACCCACTCCAAGACTTAAAAAGCATTTTTGCATATCTTGTTCTAAAACATTTTGGGTTACTTCTATAATCCATTTGAAAATTTATGTTTGTGGGGCTGGTGCTGTGGTGTAGCAGGTAAAGCTGCCACCTGCAGTGCCAGCATCCTAGGTGGATGCCGGTTCAAGTCCTGGATGCTCCACTTCTGATCCAGTTCTCTTCTATGACCTGAGAAAGCACTGGAGGATGGCCCAAGTCCTTGGGCCCCTGCACCCACATGGGAGATCTGGAGGAGACTCCTGGCTCCTGGCTTCAGATTGGTGCAGCTCCTGCCATTGCGGCCAATTAGGGAGTGAACCAGCGGATGGAAGACCTCTCTCTCTCTCTTTCTCTCTCTCTCTCTTTACCTATCCTTCTCTGTGTAACTCTGACTTTCAAATAAATAAATGAATATTAAAAAAAGAAAAAAATTTATTTTTGTGTATGTGTGGGACAGTAATTCTAGCTGAACGCTTTCCCAGATGCCTTATTTAATTTACCTTTAGCCTCTCAGGTAAAAGAGCATATCCATTATGTACACTGTACCCCCACATATTGATGAATCTGCTTCTGCAGTCTCCATTCTGCTTTGAGTTATTTATCTGTTCCTGTGCCAGTCCCACAATGTTCTAATCACTGTGGCTTTATAGTGTATTTGATACCTAATAGGGCGAATTCTTCACCATTGTTCTCTTTCAAAATGTTCTTGGCTACGCTTGTGCATTTTCTCTTCCAGATGAACTCAGCAATCAGTGGTCAAGTTTCATTAAAGCTCAGAACACATCAAGTGCTTTGTTTCTGAATGTTCCTTTTCTAGTCACTGTTGTGTTTCTTCTCCTGTCCCCACCTCATTAAGCAGGACAAATTGTCATCATCAAGGTCTTTCCCAAATCCTAAGAACCAAACTATTGAAACTCACATCATAGGAGTAACTAAAATTAGAAACATGCCAGAAGCACTGATCCCAGACGACTCCTAGAGTCGCAGCAGGAAGCACAACGCCTAGATGATTTGGTTTAACAACCCTTCTTCCTGTAGAAAAACAGGGGACTGACTAGAAGCACCAAGCACCCAACCCCCAAGCCACCCTTCTTCTCCTCTCCAAAGAGCACCTTTCGAGCAGTTTACACAACAAGCACTTGCAAGCTTGGACGGCAAGAGCCTGTTTGACATGGGGCCACGCTCAGTATTGACAGAATTGTGTTTGCACACCAGCCAGGCTGAGCATCAGGCTGTTGGACAAGGACACCTCCCAGGCAAAGACTGCTTCATAAGGAGCCTGAGGAAAGAGCCTCCACCGACCCTTCCTGCCGGCAGCTTCGGACAGGTCCTGGTGGCAGTGTTCTACCTCTGTTACGGGAAGCCATAGGCGGCTTTAGCCTTTTTCAAGTCTCTCTGCTCATTCTCAGCAGGAAAGTCTTTGCAAATCCTCAAGGACATTAGCTTCCAGGATGTCCACAATGCTAGGACTTTGGTTTCCCGGCAGATGTTTCTCTTCTACCCAAGTCATTCTAGACTGTTCGTTATGGGCATGATAATCATAATTCTGGATTCTCTGGGATGGCCCAGATTTCAATATTCTGAACTTTTGCCTTAAATCGTTAAAGTATTCTTGGAATTCTCAAGATTTCCATGTCCAACTAGCCTCTCCCATATTGCATTAACACTGGGAAATAGCCCAAAACAATTTTTGTAACATGATGTGTGCCTGATGTTGGTTTGGTTCTGAAAACCCAGTTAGAAAAGATTCCTGAGCAATGACACAAACACATCCTTGGGCTGTTTCTAATTCAATTACTCAGACCCCTGTATTTAACCAAAGGAGTCTCTTATTTGCACCAACTTAATATTCCTTTTTTATATATTATGTATCTTAAAGAATGAAACAGACTCAACTGCAGCTCCCTAATACCACAGTGATTTTTTTCTCTTAGGAAAGGGAGGAAGCACAAGAGATAGACCCGCCATCATTCACAGAACACCAGTGACCCAGTGGCCCCACCGAGATGCGAAGACTCTGGTTGCTGTGGAGCTGTCCACCAAGAAGGTGCTGACACTCTCCTGGAGTTGGACAGGGGCTGCCCTCCAGAGTTGTGAAAGAGTCCCCTCCATGTCCCTACCACCACACAATCTCCAGAAAAATGTAAAACTCTGTGTAAACATAGGCCATGTCTCCCAATCAGAGTATGGAAGACAAGAATTGGCCACCAGCATCTTCTAAACCTTCTCTGGACTCCCTTGCTCTAAAAAGTC